CTTGGGTGCCTCGGAGAGTTTCTTGAGGCCTCTTCGGGGTGTCTTGGGGGCCTCTTGGAGGCATTGGGCGCCTGTTGGGGTTTGCTGGGGCTTCCTGTGTGCCTCTTGGGGCCCTCTTGAAGCGCTCTTGGGAGCTTTGGGAGTGCTCTTGGAGCCCTCTTTAGCCATCTTGGAGCCATCATGAGGCCTCGGATGGCCATCGGGAGCAAAAAGGCGAGAAAGCCCAAAACGTCGATTGCCCGGAGGTTTTGGAAGGATCTCCGCATCTTCGGTGCCTCCTGGGGGAGCTCTTTGGCCACTGGGGGCCGTCTTGAAGAGGTCTTGGGGCCTCTTGGGGCATCGTGGGGGCCATCTTGTGGCATCTTGCGATATCTTGAGCCATCTTGGAGGTCATCGCGGTTGCTCCAGGCGCCCTTGGAGCTATCTGAAGCAGCGCCCCCCCCCCAGGAGGCCCAAATGTGGCCGGCGCCCTAGTGTTCTTAATGATTTTAGCATTCTCGCCGAGGTCTCTTGGAGCGTCCTGGGTGCCTCTGCCTCATGGGGCCTCTTGGGGGTCTCTCGGGAGCCTCTTGGGGGCGCCCTGTGGCCTTCTTTGGGGCTTCTTGGGGCCGCGTGGGGCCATCTTGGGGCCATCTCGGGGTCTCTCGGGGCCTCCTGGGCATCTCTTGGGGCCACCTTGGAGGAGATCGATCGCGGGGGGGGGGTGGGGGCGGGATAGCCCCCCCCCCCCCCCCTCCCCCTTCCCTCAGGCCAAAATGGGGCCAAAAAACCCTCGTGCAACCAATGTTGTCGGTTTCCTCGCCGAGGCCGTTTAGAGTGCTCCAACGCGTCGCGGAGCCCCCCGCTCAGGTCCAGGTGAGGAACCCGTGGGGGGTGGGGTGGGTGGGTGGGTGGGTTGGGGGGTGGGTGGGGTGGGGGGTGGGTGGGGGCACCCCGCCCGCAAGCCGTCTCGCTCGCTCCCGCCCGCCCTCCCATCGCATACGTGGCAACCGCCGCCTTCGCCACCTTCGCTGCCTTCGCCGCCGCCGCCGCCGCCGCCGCCGCCGCCGCCGCCGCCCCCCCCGCTGCCAAACCGCCGCCGCCGCCGCTGCGCCCGCCGCCGCCGCCGCCGCCGCCGCCGCAGCCGCCGCCGCCGCCGCCCCCGCCGCCGCCGCCGCCGCCGCAGCCGCCGCAGCCGCCGCCGCAGCCGCCGCCGCCGCCGCCGCAAGTGTACTCTGCATTTTTTTACAGGGATGGTGGTGTGTGTGTGTGTGTGTGTGTGTGTGTGTGTGTGTGTGTGGTGTGTGTGTGTGTGTGTGTGTGTGCATCGGTGCGCGCGTTCCGAATGTGGAGGCAGCGTGTGTTTTGCATGGTTTTTTTGTTACAAGGGATGGTTTGGGGGGGCGTCGTGGTCCCTGGGTGGCCCCCAGTCGCCTGGGGGAGGGGGTGTTTATTAATGGGGAACAGTGATCCAGATTTTTTTTTTGCCCGCAAGCTGTCTCGCGCGCTCCCGCCCGCCCTCCCAGCGCGTGCGTGGCGCCCGAGTCTGGCCCGAGCCTCAGCACGTTCAGCAGTCGTCTTTGGATGGGCAGCTACTGGGGGCCAATCCGCCGCCGCCGCCGCCGCCGCTTCCGCCGCCGCCGCCGCCGCGGCCGCCGCCGCCGCCGCCGCTGCCCGCCGCCGCCGCTTCCGTGCCGCCGCTGCCGCCGCCGCCGTCGCCGCCGCGCCGCCCGCCGCCGCCGCCGCCGCCGCCGCGGCCGCCGCCGCCGCCGCCGCGCCGCCGCGCCGCCGCCGCCGCCGAGCGTACTCTGTATTGTTTTTTTTGACCAATGGTGGGGTGAGGCCGCGTCGGGCTGGCTGCGCGTGCTCCGAATGTGGAGGCATAGTTTTTTTTTTTTTTTTTTTTTTTTTTTTTTTTTTTTTTTTTTTTTTTTTTTTTTTTTTTTTTTTCAAAAAAAAAAAAAAATGAAGGGCTGGGGGGGGGGGGGGGGGGGGCGCGTCGCCCCCGGTTGGCCCCCGGTCGCCCGACGGGGGGGGGGGGGAATATTAGGGAACATGGAAAATCCGCCCCCGAAGGGGAAGTGGGAGGGGTGACGGAGGGAACGCTCTAGACCACCTGCGCCCAAAGGGCTCGTGTGATTTCGACTTGGATTCTAATTCTCTCATGTCGCCCTCCGTCGCGTGGTGGTGGGGGGGCGCTTTTCGCCCCCCCCCCCCCCCCGCAGGTGCGCGTCGACGCCCTCCTCTGCTCGATTCCTGTCGTCCTTTGCTATCTCCATCCGTCCATTGCTTTTCTCCCTCCGTCCATGTGTCCTGTCTTCTTTGTGCGTGCTGTCGCCGTGCGCGCATAGAATTTAAGGCAAGTGCTAGGGATTGTGTCATGCCAAACGGTCTTCTGTAAGCGTTTTGATGCATCGGAGCTCGCGCGTACTGCTTGCGGAAAGAATATCGCGATCGTTTTCGGAGTGCCAACGCCTTGGCAGAGCTGCGCGATGCGCGGGCCCAGACCTGCAGGCTGGCGACCCCGATTTCGGCCTGCGATTTCGCGTACCTCGAAACCCGATTGGTCGAGGTATGGACGGCGGTGGGCCTCGTGCAGGATTGGCATTCCGCCTCCCTAGTCGAGGAGAGTATCCCCAAGCTGGCGTTGGGCGCCCGGCGCACGGGCATTTGCTGCACGTCACCTCTCCCAGGCTCGAAGAGAGATTCGTGAATCAGACCGTGGACGGGCTGACGGTGGTGTAGGTAACGGCGATGTTGGTTTCGGTATTGTGGGCACGCGTGGTTCGCACTTTCCTGCAACTCGCTGTGTCGTGTTCGCTCTATCCGTTCGCAGTGTGGAAATGTAGGGAAGTGTGGTTCGTGACTTCCTACACCTCGGTTCCCAACATCACCTTTAAGCGACGTCGCCGTTTGGCCGGCCTTTGTCGGAGATGCTGAAATGGCGCGGGCTGTGGACTTTGCACGGGGCTAGCAGGGCGCGCGCAGACGATTCGGAGACGTCCATGGCGTTGGCCCCACAGTTGACCCGCGACCTTCTGAGTTGTTTTGTGGTTGATGGTTGTTACTGCCACATTCGCGCTCCCCCTCGCAGAGCTCGCGGCACCCGCGACTACAGGTTGAGAGGTGGGCTCCGTGCGGATCTATCTTCTCCGGCCACGCGTGGGCACGGATGTCCCTTTTCGGGGGGGTCTTTTCCCTTGTCTCCCTTCCTCCTCCTCTCGCCCGGTCCCGCTGCCCCTGGGGGTCGTGGGAATTCACATCCCCTTCCTTTCTGTCCCTTCCTTTCTGTTGTAAATATGGGGGCCCCTGCGGTGGGCTCGCGGCCCTGCCAATTGGCGCCTCTCACCGCAGAGCATAGAAGGACATGCTCGAGGTGGCCAGGGCCCGGCCCTCGTCGATGAGATCAGCCCCTGCGTGGGCGGGACCGGCGCGCCCCTGAACGTTAAGGGCGGCCCATTGTGGGCGGGGGCAACGCTTTCCCCTATCTTATTCCTTCCTCTTGTCTCCCTCTCACGCGCGGTCTCGCGCCGTGGGGGCGGCGGGCGGCGCCGTCGGCGCCCCCGCTCCTCAGGGCAGTTGAGCCTCGAGGAACCCATCGGTTGAGCTCGCGTGGCGCCCCCGCTCCTCGGAGCAGTTGAGCCTCGAGGAATCCAGTGGTTGAGCTCGCGCCGCGTGACCTGCCCCCCCCGCGGGTGTGCGTCGCGAGACGCGCGTCGACGTGCTCAAGCTCTCGCGCGCTTTCGCACAATCCTGTTTTCCTTCTCGGTCGCTCCCTCAGGTGCACATTTTGCGCTGCCGTTCGCTGCGCAGTGGGCGATCCAATCTGCATCCGTGCTATTTTGACGTCGTGTGCACACGTCAGATGTTCCATATTCCTCTCCACAGGTGCCCGTCTTGACGCTTCTTTACCACCGCATCTCCTGGAATGCTGTCGCTGCGAGGTCTGCCCGGCCAGGGCGGTTGCATCCGTCGTTTGCTTCCGCCGCCCATGTGTCGCGATGGGGCGGGGTGGGGCGTGTGTGTGGGGGGGGGGGGGGGGGGGGGCGATGTCTCATGTCAGGCCAGTGGGGGCGCCCGCAGTTGATGTTTCAGGTCAGGCCAGTGGGGGCGCCCGCAGTTGTCCTCTTGTCTCACCTCCTTGTGTGTGGCCCTCATTTCGCGCGCGTCTCTGTGGAGTGTCATGCGGCCGCGTGCCCTGTGCATGCGCCAGTCCACAAGTATATGCTGACTGGCTGTCTTGCTCGTTCATCCCGTTCACAATCACAATCTATTGGTCTCTCTTGACCACCATCCTTCGAACATGAAGCCGAACATATTTCGAACGTGTCCAAACAACGCCCCCCGAACACTCGAACATATTCAGGACAATCATGATATCCTACGTTTCCATCTGATATTAACTACAATCCGATGGCAGACGAAAACGTGTAAACGTTGATCGACCGTCGTCGTCGTCGTGGTCGTCGTTGTCGTCGCTGCCGCCACGGCTGCCGCCGACGCCGCCGTTGTCGCCGCCGCCGCCATCGTCGCCACCGCCGCCGCCGCCGCTGCCGTCGTCATCGTAGTCGTGGTGGTGGTCGTCGTCGTCGTCACTTTTGTTTCTGTGTTTGTCTTACTTTGTCTTTGTCTTTGTCTTTGTGTGTTGCGTTTGTCGTCGTCGTCGCCGCCGTTGTCGTCGTCGTCGTCGTCGCCGCCGTTCGGCGTCGTCGTCGTCGTCGTGGTCGTCATTGTCGTCGTCGTTGTCGTCGTGGTCGTCGTCGTCGTTGTTGTCGGCGTTGTCGTCGTCGTTGTCGTTGTTTTTTTTTTTTGTCTTTGTCTTTGTCGTCGTCGTCGCCGCCGTTGTTTTCGTCGTCGTCGTCGTCGTCGCCGCCGTCGTCGTCGTCGTCGTCGTCGTCGTTGCGGTCCTCGTCTTCGTCGTCGTGGTCATCGTCGGCGTCGTCGTTGTTGTCGTCGTCGTCGCCGTCGTTGTTTTTGCCGTCGTCGTCGTCTTCGCTGTCTTTGTTTTTGTCGTCGTCGAG